GTCCAAAGATTCGCGATGGAGCGCGGTCAGTGGCGCACGACTCAAGTCGCGAAGTATGAACACAGCCTCAAACAACAGAGAGACACAGACCGTCGCAACTTCCAGTGCTTACGATCGTGAAAGCCTTTAACGGTATATGTGATTCTTACCTCCATTTTCGCATTTGTCCATCGAGGAATCTCAACGATCATGTTGTAGATCTTTTTGGATTCATCGGCAAATAACGGAACATCATGCCATGGTGATATAACACCTTCAGGACCCTCTGCAACAAAGAAAATTCGTCATACTTTGAATTAAAAAATAAATAAATTCCTAGCGAATTATGTTTAACGTACTGATGAAAATCCGATAGTCAGTTCCATACAGTGAATCCGCGTTCAATCGTCTCATACTTAACTGCATCACCAGCTGCCATTTTCCTTCCTGGCTCGATTTTTTCTGTATCGACTGCTTGCGCAGAATCGGAACCCCTGAAGATGGGTTTACTTTGGGGTGCACGAGAAAATGCAAGATATTCAGGACCGTCACATCGACAGTTCTGCATCAGTCAGCAGCGGACTTTACCGGACCTAAGAAGTTTGGGCGTGCAGGCGGCGAACACTCAAATACTATATCGATACTTATACTTTCCTAGTCACTGAGAAAGCTGACACAGAGTATGGACACAGCCCAATATGGCTTTAACACTTTGCTAGCAGCGTACTCGCTTCACTAAAAGCGTAAGAAGGAATTGAAAAGGAAGGATGCCCACAAATACCACCCATTACCATCCAGACATTCCCAAGTTACTACCTTATGAGAAACCATGTCGAGCCCAGGGACAGCTGCAAGAAAGAAATGCCATAGACTCCAAGGAATCAAACTACAGCATAGATGCGTATAAAAAAACAAAGGCACAGCAGTCCAGAGTCCTTGTCACAAGTACAGTATAGAGGGCAACAGAACATATACGGCGCATATATGGCACCTACAACAATTATAGCCAGCAAGGAAAAACCAATACACGCAAGAAGGTTGGTGGAGAAAGCGTGCCCTTTGTGGTCTTTGCACTTTGACATGCCAGTTACGACCAACTGATAAGAACTGATAAGTGAGAAAGAAAACAGAAATCGCAATATTTTACGCTGCTCCTGCCTGAATCACTCCAGTAAGAGAAAGACAAAAACAAATCTTGGCTGGTGCAGTTCCTTCGACGACGGGGGAGGAGGAGGGGGGTGCATATCCACTTTTATTACTTCCAATGACGTGCTGAGCCATCGAGTGAAGACCTGTGAAATCATGTGAAGCCGCGAAATGATACCAGTCAAAGTTTCTAGAGGCTACTTATCAACTGCTGTAAAGATCGATGGAAAGTAACGGAAGTAGAAATGCCATCTCCCCCCCCCCTTGCCGAACTGCGCCTAATTTGCATTCGTTGCCCGCACGACCTTCAGCTGAAAAGTTTAGAAACTAGGCATGCAGCAGATACCGTGCATCAAGAAGAACAAACAAGCAAAGAAAAGTGAAAGAGGTCAAAGGATTTCAAAAAAGGAGGGGAAACCTCTCCGTAGGTTTTTTCCTGCATAACACAATAGAACCGTCTACAGAGCTCAATAGATTAATACAATCAGGACAAATCATCGTTGTGGAAAACACAACGGGATTCGGACGCTGGGGAAGAGACTGTTTGTGGTTTTGAAGGAATTTTCTCGATTCTGGTCTCCTCCATTTTGCGCGCGCTACGTACAGCTGATAGTACTGCAATCGGTCTGGTGGTATGGGATGGAATAGGCGCACCTCTGCGATCCTACCACTGGTGCCTTCTTGCTAAATGGACCATTAAGCGATCACTATTGGTGGAAAAGATATCCGAAGGCGGTCTTTCCCTCTGACATCACCCCGAGTGATTACGACGTTATCAGCACATTCATACTTGGCGGTGTGGCAAAACCACTGTTTCTGAGATAGTTGTTCAGAGGTGCTCACCACCTTCCCCCCACCCTTCCTCGACGGC